TATAATAACTCTTCAGCTTTTCTTTGATCATTTTATATGAGAAATAAATCTCTGAAGATGTACTTTTTAGTTCTAGTTTTAGTTGTTATTCAGCGTTAGATTGTTATATACTTTTAATTAAACTAAAACTAGAACTAACATTAGACTTAGAACTAAAAAATTTCGGATTTGGCCATCTTAAGACATATTACTCCGTTATATCGAGTTCTTACTGTACTTTCGTAATCGATTTAATAGAATAAGAAAAGATTTAGATTTGGTTTTCATTTATGTTAGAGTGTAGCAAAATACGACCACGACAATGTTAAAATTAGCCCCGCATTATGGTTGCCAACCGTTTTCTAAGAATCGCACAGAAAAGACGTGTGCGCGTTCCGCAAATCTGTGTCAAGCCGTGTGTGTGTTCTACGCTGGCTCATGATGTGTAATTTCGTTACATTTATTTTCGGGGATCCGTTTAGAATAGAATCCTTTCTTTTCTATGCATGCATTTCAATTTCACGTTGAACAATTTTTAGTTGTAAGTTTGTATGTTTCAGATTTGTGGATGAAAATAATTTCAATCATTAAATTTAATGATCTTATCCTTAATTAGAATAGCACCCTTAATTTAAAAAATCGTATCATTAGGACTAATAGGAATGAAGAAATTTGTTTTAAAATTATTCATTTCATTGTAATATCTCAATTTAACTTTACTCAATCCAATGGTAATGATTTAACAATCAATTTGAATTTGCAGATTTCAATCGGGTCCTGATCAAAGTTAGAGTGTGAGTTGAAATCGCAGCTGATCACACCTGCTAGAGATATATAATTTTTAGAGGCGTCATTAATCCTATAAGTTTATGCATATAAATATGCTTTTGCTGGTTTATTTCTTATCGTTTTTTAAACATGTCCAACAAAAATTTTAGGTATAAACACGCGAATAAATTTACAATAATTGCTTTATCTAACAAAATTTTAAGCAAATATCGTATTGTGTTTATGAAATTCCTTTTCGACACTCACACACCTTGTTTGAAAAAATACTTCTTTCGAGAATTATAGACTAGCTCCTAGAATTAGATTCATTTAGGCCCACTTTTACCATCCTCCTGATAAACTATCTAGAGGATAGTTACCATGGTTACGGCGGTTTTAAGCGCTCTCATTGGCTAAGAGCTGGATTTATCTATCGGATAAATTTATCAAGAGGTGGTAAAAGTGGGCCTAAATGAATCTAATTCTAGGAGCTAGTCTATAATTCTCGAATTCCTATCATGACGTCCACTGTTATCACAAAAAAGCCGATTTTGATAACATTAACTGGAGATTCACAAAAGGGCTGGGTTGGGTTGGGTTGAGTTGAGTTATGTTGGCTTGGGTTTGGTTGACTTAGGGCCGGTTTATCAATGCCCAGTTAAATCTGTTAGATACGTAACTCATGGATAAACTTGCCCAACAGATAACCTCAGTGAAGCGTTTGTCCAGCAACTTTCTACCCGACAGGCAGCAACCTACTAGATAGAAAATAGATGGTAACCCTGAGTGTTAACATTAGAAACGGAAATAAAACGTGATTGGTCAATTTTGAATAATTGACTTTAGTTTGTGAAGTTGATATAAACAGCTGATCGTGTTTTGGAGGTTATCATTTTCGTGTACTTTCGGTATTGTGCGTTGTTTTCGAAAATTTCTTTTATAATGGATATTCCTATATGAATATTTATTAGACAGCGATGAAGATGAGAATATTGTTCAACTCAAGTTCTTTTCTGCTGTACTAAAATTCGATTATCTTTTTATTTCTCAATTATAAGCTTAATTTATTTTTGACGTCATATTTTGATTTTATTGTCCTTTCTTTTCACCAAGCAACCAAACTTGCGCGCACATTTTTTTGACAATATCTAATAGGTAAACCCTTAACCAGTACTTCAATCTGGTGGGTATCCAAATGTCATATTTACCTATAAGATGACCCTAAACTACAGGTAGATAAACGATTCGTCGACGTTATCTGTCAGCTACAATTTTAATTGACAGATAAATCGTCTTAACTAAATATTGATAAACCGACCCTTAGGCTCGTTACTACCATCTTCTGGTTAAGCTATCTAAGGGATTATTACTATGGTTACGGCTATTTCACGCGCTCTGATTAGCTAGTAGATGGGTTTATCTATAAGATAAATTTAACTAAAAGATGATAATAATGGGCCTTAGGTTGTAACGCTCTGATTTTTTTTTAGTAGGTCTTTAATGTATTGTTTTGGTGTAATTTTGTTTTGTGTTGTCAAAGAAGGAAGATTTTGGGTTGCATAATACGCGTAACGTAATATGTTTATTTATATTTATTGTTTATTAATACATTTATTTGTATTTTATTTTTTTTTAGCAGCGTACTTCTAGGACTTCCTCAATTTTCCATTTTTATATTCCTCTTATTTCTAATTTCAATTCTCTTTCCTATTTTCTTTTTATTTCTTTTATTCAAATTTTTACAAGTCTTCAGAGACGATTCTTGCTCTTTTTAAAACCAGCTTTGATACGTGCCACACCTGTGAGTTTCGGAAATTTTTGGTGATAGCCATTTTGGTAATTTTAAAATTATTTGGTTGAAAATTTCCATTTTCCTTATTTGGAGGATCTATCACTCCGGATTTTCTTCGTATCATATTTAAAAACAAAATTTTTATCCTGGTTAAGGACTCGAAGATCTGAGGTAAGACTTTTCTTTTAATCCTTAATTTACAACTCTTTAACAATCATTGCGTTATTTACCAAAATTTCATTTTTTTCCGTTTTCTTCTTCCTTCTTTTACATTTCTATTTCTTTTCCAAATTCTCTTTATTTTCGCTTTAGGCCTTTTGTATTGCATTTTTTTTTTTGGTTTATTTGCATTTCCTGTTGGGAGAAAACAAATTATTAAATTTTATATTGGTTGGAGTCAATTTTTGGAATCCAATCCAAAAATCCATCTCTCTCATCAATATCCATCCTTTTCTAAGTTCCGGAAGACGTTGCTGAAGAAGAAATTGCTTTTCGTTCTTTGGGTATTATCCCAAATAAATATTATTGCAACTCAAATCAATATGGGAGCAACTGTGTGGCGCCTTAAAGAAATTCTACCCAACCCAATCTCCAATTGAGCTAGGCCGTGTTGTGTTTGGTGTTGTAAATGTGTTGGTTATTATATGTAATTTTGTTGTTATCGTAATTAAAATGTCACAATTTTGGGTTGGGTTGGTTTAGATTGGGGTAGGTTGGGTTGGGTTGGTACATGATTACTCTTTGTAAGGGGCAATGTACCTTAAATATAGGAATTTGAATCTAAGGAGCTAGTCAAACTGTGGAAATATTTGATTACTTTACCTCTCTTTTCTTTCAAAAATTTTTTGGTAATTGTAGAAACTATCAGCATCCCATTTTATTTCAGTTCTTTGACTTGTCCAAAGAAGTTGCCAGAAACTTTAACGAAATGGAATCCAAGATACATCTTCCTCAAATTACATGGTGGTTACATTCACAACAAACAATATACAATATGGTCACTACTTGAATTGAATAGTTTTTGTTGTAATTGTAGAATATTCTACAATTTAATCACAACATAACTTACCATACTTTGGCTAATAAGTTATTGATCAAGTTATGTTGCACTGAAGAAGTTAGCTACCTTAACAACATACATAGAATTTCTATTCTTGCTGTTCTTCTTCTTCTTCTTTTTGTATTTAGGCATAATTAAGTGTTTTTCTTCACATCTTTGCCTCTATTTAGTTGTTTGGAAGGAAGAATTCGTTCCTCTATCATGCGATCGATCTGCTCATTCCATTTTTTCTTTCTTTTTAAGAGCCAGTCATTGATGTTACATATCCTGTATATTTGTCTAATGATCTCACTTCTTTTTTCTGCCCATCAGTGTTTTCCCAGCTATTCTACGCACTCTTTTCATTTCAGCTTCAGTTCAAATATGTTTGTTCTGCCATATTCAAATTTAATAAGCTTGCATCTAATCGGTGTCTTGAAGTTAGTCAAAGATTTCTTTTTGCAGTTGATATTATTATGTCAAATATTTTTGCTATTAGTAACTTCTGGATATCATCCTCGTTCTCAACTACCAACATCGCATTTATTGTTTAACTCCACTTGTTTTGTAATTTCATAAATTATGACGCTGAATTCAAAAGTTTCTGTTCAGTACCTTTGTTATTTATTGTTGGCTGAATCTTTTTTCTGAATATATATTTTTGTTCTTGTATCCTTTAACTGTATTCAGCCGAAAGGCTTTTGCATAAAAACTGATTATATTCGATCGAAGATTTACAATTGATACAAATGGTAGTTTTTGTGACATCTCATTCTTTTATGTCTTCGTACTCCTCCACATAACAAGTAATGCCATGTTCAGATCTATTTGTTACACGTTTTCGTATTCGAGGCTTCTACAAAATCAATATATGTACAAGCTGTTTGATGTACGTGGGTACGGTTACAACCTACCACAGAGAAAGTGTTACAAGTACTATCTCTCGATTTATTTTATTTTAATGAAATATTGATAATGACAGCGAAGCGAAAGTTAATATATTTGTTCTATAATGTTTAGGTATTGTTAAAAGAAAGATTAAAGATAGTTTATGATCAAATACATAAAAACAGAAATATTTCACATTCATCACGACGCACATGACTACTTAGTAGTGAGGAGCAAGTTTTTACATGTCAACGGTTCGTCCCAACTCTTGAGTGAGACGTGTAATCGCGACCTCCTGTTATAACCGTACTTAGTACCGTAGATTAAATTTTTGTTTTTGTAGCAATAACTTGTAGGCCAATACTTTATTAATTGCTGTTCTAAATTGCCAACAGACATTTTATGTTCAAAAACATAACATGTTTCATTACCACCCTTTGAATGTTAATGACTCCCATGAAATAAATGTTGAGTGTGGTCAATTATGTTTGACTTATAATCAATGTTGTTATACTATTATTTTTTTTCTTTCAGATAATAAATCAGAAAATCCACCAAATTTCAAATGATCACTAAATAAACAGAACCAAAACATCTAAAAACAATGATTTTGGTGCTAAAATCAATTTTGGTTCTTTACCTAACCACATTAGCTTGCCATGGTTATCACCATTACAATTCAAAGACTGATTACGTAAACTCGAAATGGAGAAGTAAACATTCTTCGGTTACAAAACCGACGTATAGCAACAATAACCGACAATGGCACAGCAACCATCAAAACACTAATAAAAATAATCATTTTCAACTCGCCACGACGGAAAAGCCGCACAGAATAAGACACGGAGGGTACTCGGCGGGATCGAGATTTAGTAATTTGGACGGTTTTATGAACCGTTTAGATCGCTATCGATATGGTACGGTGATCACTACGACTTCTACAACGAAAAAACCAAAGTGGGATTATCGTAGAACTAATAGTGGGAGCAGTGTTGAGAGTTTGTGGGGTGAGAGTTATGATGATACGGATTATAATGATGATGATATTGAGGATTTTTCTGAAAATGATGACGAAAAATTGGTAAGTAAAAAAAATTTTATTTCATACTCGTGCTGATATCTTCCTTATTATTAGAGTTAGCGAAAAACTAAATGCACCATTTGAAAGCTTGATTCTTTCTCTACATAAAACCTTGCGTTTGCCGGTAAGTTGATAGTACTTAAAATAGCTCAAAATTACCAAATTTCAAGCCCTTGTGGAATTGTTATCAAATCGAATTTTAAAAAACTGTTATCATAGTCAGAAAGAACTATCTTAGTCCGAGTTTTCGTAAGTCAATGTCAATCGGCGTCATGCTTAAATCAGCTTTAATACATCCCTACACGCAGAATCGCTTAATTGCTCTTCCTCTAAACAACTTTCTTTTTTGATAGGGGGAAAACTATAGAAGTATATCTATCTTATCGAAAATTTTCTGCTCTTTCAGTGGTGTATACTACTAAATTCACACTTTCTAGTCACTTTTGTAGCATTGATAAACTCTAAATCAGAATGATCTACTTCTAGGTCTTGTGTTAGTTCTAGTGATAGTGCTAGTGCAAAACTAATACTATCACTAGAACTTTCTACTAATCACCCGATACTTTCTAGTTCTAGGTCTAGCGTTAGTTATTTAGTTAGTTATCTAATGCTAACTAGCGCCGCCTAGCATTGTCACTAGAACTAACACAAGACCTAGAACTAGAAACATTCAGGTTTAGCCATATTAAGAGACCCATAGCTAAACCCGAATAGTTCTGATTCTACGTCTAGTGTTAGTTCTACTTTTCTGTTCTGTATTCTGTTTACGAAATTTTTTTTTGACACTCACACCTCTCATAAAAAAAGTCCAAATACATCTTTGAATGAATCTAGTCCTATGAGCTGATCTATAATTATCGAATTCTTATTATGACTTTCACTGTTATCATAAAAAAGCCGATTTTGATAATATTAACCTAAGATTCAGAAAAGGGTTGGGTTGGGTTTGGTTGACTTAGGTTGGGTTTGGATGTGATTTTACCCTACTTTTCTTTCAAATATTCTTGGCAGTTGCAAAATCTATCAGCAACCCCATTTTATTTCAGTTCTTTGGCTTGTCCAAAGAAATTTCCAGAAATTTTAAATTTATGTAATTTTGACCACAACGATAAAGCAAAACGAAATTGAATAATACTATACAATATGGGCACTACTTGCAATGAATAGTTTTTGTTCTAAATGTAGAATATTTTGTAATTTAATCAGAACACAACATATCATACGTTGGCTAATGAGTTATCGATCAAGCTATGTTGTGCTGAAGAAGTTAACTATCTTAACAACATATATATAATTTCTATTCTTTCTGTTTTTGCGTCTGAAGATGCATGGCTAAACCCGATACTTTCTAGTTCTAGTTTTTATTCAATAAAAAGTTACAATACAGTGATATCTAATGCTAACTAGCGCTGCCTAGCACTGTCACTAGAACTAACACAAGACCTAGAACTAGAAACATTCGGGTTTAGTCGTGACAAAAACTTTCAGTTGTCAATTATTATGAATATAATCTTCATAAAATAACCTTTAAAGTGAGTCGAAACTTGAGGCGTTTATCTAAAAAAATCAAAAAGTTCGAACTTTTAACTTTTAATTTTGACATATTTGTCAACTTCATAAAAAATCCTTTAAAATGAGTCCAAACTCGACATATTTAACTTTAATATTAATGGAAATACAATCACTTCCGGTTTGAAACGACAACGTCAATTTTGACATATTTGTCATCTTCATTAAAAAACCTTTAAAATGAGTCCAAAGATGACGCACTTATCTCAAAAAACAAAAAAGTTGGAATAAAAAAGAATAAACCCGAAGTTAGCAACAATGAAGATAGCAATTTAATTTTTAAATATTAATACCAACCTTAATTTTTTATTTTTTTTTTATTATATTTTGGTTTTTGTGACAAATATTAAGACATTTTATAAAAATTAAGAATATGTCAAAATGACATTGACATTTCAAACCGGAAGTTCTTATATCTCGAGTAATATTGGAATTAAACGTATCTTGTTTGGACTCATTTTAAAGGATTTTTCACGACGATTACATACAAATATGTCAAAATTGACGTTGACATTCTTAACCGGAAGTTGACCATAACTTCACTAATATTGAAGATAAATATGTCGTGTTTGTACTCATTTTAAAGGATTTTTAATGAAGATTACAAATATGTCAAAATTGAGGTTGACATTTTAAACCTGAAGTTAGTTATCATATAATAGAAGTTTTATAACTGAAGTTAATCTAGTGTTAGTCACTTTTCTGCACTTTCTTTTTATTTTTAATGTGATTTTTGGGGCATTTCACATTGATTAAAAAAAATCGTCTATTTTTAATCCACATATTTCTTTTATTAAAAATGAGCGTTCTTAAATTTTTTCCTGTAATCTTGTAACAACTTTTTAAACTTTAATTTTGTCAATTAGTAACTAATAATCTGATTTCGATTTTGATATGTGATCTTTTTTAACAAAACAAAAAGAAATATTAAGAAACTTTTTTATAAAATGGATAAGATGAGAGATGTTAATCTATTTGGGGAGTCGCTAAAGATGGCCAAGGGCTGAAACTGTTTAGACTTAAATTCTATATAAAATAAAAACCATATATGCTACCTACCGTGATATCTTATGCTACCTAGCACTGTCACTAGAACTAACACAAGATAGAGAACAGTTAAGAGACGCACGGCTAAACGTTATGTTTCTTCATTCTTGATTGATCTTAGTATCAACTTATCTTCAGACAAAAACCCGGTTTTATGGTGCAAATGGTGCGTTTAGTTTTTTGCTATCTCTAATAATAAGGAAGATATCATCTAAGAAAGTAGATAGGAAATTACTGCTAAAAGTTTGTTGCCATCGTCGCACGGGTTTATTTCATAACATAAAAAAAATAATCGATTAGGTGTGTTTAACAGAGCTTGTAATGTGTTTAAAATTATAGGTTTGTATTATAAGATATTGAATGTAAATAGATTAATTTGCATAGATTATTATAGTAGCAGTTTACAATTGAAAACCGGGTTAAAATCATGGGCGAGATCCCACAATTTGAATCCACATTATATCGACGCATATGGCCAGAAACGTGAGATATTTATTACGAAAGCATACGGGAATTTATGTTTGCGTTCCGATACAAGTAATGATTACGTATAAATTATTCCGCTACTTCTAGATGGTCGTAAATCACTTAAGCATTCTACCATAGTACACAGATTTCAGATAACGCTAAGTGTACACGATGGACATTATAAAAATCGCTAATTTAAGTCATATGCGGAGATTGTACGATGATATATGTCCGGCAAATCGCCAGTTTTAGCTACTGTCGTTAAATTAGCGGTTAAGTGCAAAATTATCAGTCGTAAATGCTATTTTCCGCTCAACTATTTTAAGTAAGGAAAGTCAAATCAATGACAAACAAATTTAATTTACCAAGAATGTTTTATCACATTATTCATGACTTAAATACTCCCAATCTTAAGATGTAAACTTGTTAACATTAATGAAAAAGCTTTTAAATTAACTGTGTTTTCATAGATATGTTTCTAGCTGGGTGTCCAAAGACTTTCAAAGATAATTATTCGTTATCAAGTAGAGATAGTTCCCGAAGAGTTCTTGCACGAAATTACCCGCGTTTACCGTTGATTGCCCGGCTAATTACTAGAATTAGGCCAGAACCGAGTCGGGGCGATGTCTTCATTTGCATTACTTGGGTGGTATTATACCCGTGCGGCAAAAGCAACTCTTCGTGGCTTAGAGAAAACGATTCCGCTATGTCCGGATAATTTGTTAATAACCATTATTAACGACGTACAGAGTAAACATGCCCATGAGGAACTTTGAGAGGTAAACCTAATTGCAAACGGGAGACTTGGAATTGACTTTGAAAACTTTATTATTAGGAAAGTTTCGTTTACCAGATGGCGTTATTAAAATTCTTTATTTATTTTAAAGATTTTAATTTCAAATTTTTGATCTAACAAAGAGTTTCGTTCAAAGCGTTCTCGATTTAAATAGAGACGTGAGATGTTCTTGCTCTGTGAAGAGCATCTTGACCCCGTGTCCAAGAGCGACGTATCTTGCGTTCCACGAATGTTTGTTACGTATTCAGCTGTGGTGAAATGCCGCGTTGGATCGTCGACGATTAGATTTTCTCATTGTCTTTTTGTCATATTCTTGTGCGTCTTGAAATACGCACACATTCACGAACGATGCATGTAACATTATAAAACGTTAAATTTCTTATTTTCGTGATTGCAAAATATTTAGTATCTTGAGACGATAGGTCAGTGTTAAAATAAGCACATAGGAACGTAAACATCGATTCCAAACACGTCTTCGTTTATTGCTTGCAAATACTATCGTCGTGTTTGTTCGCGTTACGTTACAAAACGTTGAAACTTTGAATAAGCAAATGTGTTAGGATCCGTCTATGTTGATGGAAGAAAGATCATTTCAATTTGAGATGAATGGAAACGATAATAACCTCGATTATTAGGCAAATAAAATTTTCGGCGACAATTTCTCTCAACGAGAGGAAAGTCTTCAAGATCATTAAGTCAATATTTGATATGTTGTATGTAAATTCGTTTTGATAATAAGGATTTTGTCCACGTGGATGACGTCAAAATAGTTGTTCTTTTAGAGATTAGTTTTTTTTTGACCTATTTTTATTCAGATTTTTAATATAGATAATGTCTTATCTTTAAGTTAGGACAAATTTGTATTCGTTAAAAATTCTATCAACGTCCTCATCTCTTTACGCAGTTTTTTTTTAGACGAGAGAAGAGTTTGCGTAACTCTACTACAAAATTTGAAAGTCAAGCTTAAAATTATACGGTTTCTGTCGTCTATTTAATGATCGATTGTGATTGATTATTTTTGAAAGGAAAGACTTTCCAATTTGTGTTTCTTCATAAATTTCTTGTTACAAAAATCGCACATTTTTGAAATTAATTCACGTATCACAACAAAAAAAAACGT